GGTTAATAAGTGGTTAAAAACATAAAGGAATAAATACCTGAATAAGGGCCCTTGACTTAAGGAAAGACTCCATCACTGCTCATTAGTCAAAGAGACTTAATACTCCTAACTGTTAAGAAAGTCTTCTTGCTGCCTAATTGAAATCCCCCAAGCTGAATTTTAAGTGCTGTCTCTTTTATCCTCAGTGGATTTAGTGAACATCTGGTCATCAACCAACATCTATTAAGTCACTCATAGATTTCTTTTTTCAGGCGAAATAATCTCCATTCAATGAACTATTCATACCAGTCTCCTCTCTGTCATGGTCAGAGCAGGCCGGTTTCCATGGTGGGCTGTGGTCTGGGCTCTGGCATGGAAAGGAACCACAGTGGGGTGGGCAGTGGGGCAGGTGGGGGGGGGTTCTATCATGTTCTAGTTCTCTAACCTTGGCACATGTGCTAAGGGACTATGGACAAAGGGGCTGTCCTGCAGAACGTGGAATACTCTGAGTCAACGGTGTGCCAGTGGCCTATTCCTGTAACCTGTGGAGGTAACACATTGAGTGGTTAAAGAGAATGGATTTCAGCCTCTGATAAACCTGGTTCTGAGCACGGTTGGATCACTTACGATGGGTATGACCTTGGGCAGGTCACCGGAACTCTCTAGGCGTCCATACTGTAATCACTAACACAAGAGCCTCCTAATGCTGGTAAGATTAAATTGGATGGTGTAAGTAGCACTCTCAATTGTGCCTGTCCGTGAGCTTGCTAAATGTTAACTAGTATGGTGACAATATTGGGAACAGGTGTGGCAAGGCTTATTTTTCTCCTTCCATGACAGTCAGGGCCACTCACAGAGTGGGGTGGGGGTGAGGTGGAGGATTCAGGTAGGAGCATCTTGAGCAAGGAGTAGCTCATCTCATGAGCATTTATTTTGTTCTTCAGTGTAGTACGGAAACAAGCAGATAAACTCACCCTTGTGATGCCCTGTGATAAGGAGTTCTGGAGTGGCCTCAAGAGGAGGAGATGTCTTAGAAGATGGATAGGTCCTCTCTAGGAGTAAGTAGGCAACGGCATTCCAAACAGAAGAAACAACATACAAAGCCACCACATGCGAAATAGCACAGTGGGCCCAGGGGAATGTCATATGAGTTATTTGTCACATTCCCAGTTTTCTACTTTCCAAACGTATGGTGGGCTTGCACTTTTTGGCCTCCTTAGGGCTGGGTTTGACTGTATGACCATGTGACAATATGAGCTGTGAACAGAAGTCACATGTGCCAGGGCATTTTATTATTGACACGAGATCTTCCTGAAGTCCCCTTCCTTTTATTACAGCGACTGGCAATGTTCAAGATGGTGGCAGCTCTGCTAGCATATGCCTAGCATGAGGAGACCCTAGTTCTGTTCTACACTATATTGTATTGTTTAAAAAATAATGCCTTTTATTGTTACAAGTCAGTAAGACTTTGAGGTTGTTCGTTACTGCAACATCACCTACTATATTCTGACTGATAAAGTACTTATAGTCTAGAGAAATAGTGCTGTGTGGTTTTCTTCTCTTCTCTCCCAAGACCCCTTCCACTTGGCCAAACCTCAGATACAGTATGGATAGGGTTAAATAAATTTCGAAGGCAGCCTTGAATGAAGCCTGTAAATGTGTGTAAAGTTAGAGTTTCCACCCGACTCTTTGCCTTTGGGGAGGGAAGGTGTTAGTCAGCGGTTGGCTATAAATATGGCTGCCTTGGTTTCCGCGGGCACTCACTGCCGTGCTGAGGTACTCCCAGCACCGGGAGTGTGGATAGAGAGCCAGGCCCACCTGACCCTTCATAATAATGGTGACTCTCTCCTTCCCACAGTTCTCTGTCCAGGGTGATGGGCTCTCACGTGTTTTATTTCTTTGACATGCCACAAACCCCAGTGAGGTTATGATTAGTCCTATTTCACAAATGAGGAAACAAGAGGTTGGAAAGGTTATATGACTTGTGGAAGATCACAAAATTAGTACATTTGAAAGACAGGTTTCAATTTGGGGACTACTGCTACCAACTTATGATTCTTTCTGCTTAATAGCTTCCTCCTCTTTTTTTTCTTTTTTTTTACCCTGAGGATGGTTCAGCTGCCTTTCTAAATACACTCAGAAATACAGTTTTCAATTCATAATAGTGATAGCTTCAGGGACAAAGTGTAAAAAAATATCAACTTGCGGGAAGTTTCTTTCCAGCTATTCACCCTTTTCCCATCAGAAGAAATGTGAGGAGTATTGTTATGATCATCAAAATACTTCTATAAATATGTGATATCTTTTGGGTCATATCTACACAGACCCAGATTTTAGTGAGTGAGCTTGGTGTTTTCTTTTTCTCTTTCTTTCTTTCTTTTTTTTTTTTTTTTTTGAGAATAGTATCATTTCCAGCCTTTGATTCCATTCCCTATAAAAGATAATCTCAGAGAGTCTGTATTTTTCTTTACATTTTTTTTTTTTGAGATGGAGCCTTGCTGTGTTTCCCAGGCTGGTCTCCAACCTCTGGACTCAGTGATCCCCCTGCCTCAGTCTCTTGAATAGCTGGGACTATCGGTGCATGCCACCATGCCTGGCTAACTTAGTGTTTTCTACTCCAGAGCTTCTGGAATACTCCAGGCCAGAGCATCCTATCTCCACATCTCAAGTGCCTCCTCCGCGGAGCCTTTCTCGATAACTCAGAATCTACTTCTGGTTTGGCTCATATCGTGTAATGTCTTCTACTGCAACTAGTTGGGAACATGTCTGACTTCCTCACTAAAATGTAAACTCTTGGATAAAAGGGACTATAACACACACATTTTTGAGGGGGGCAGTGTAGTAGTAGGAGGCTCTGGGTTTTAGCCTGAGCTCTGTCATTAGCTAATGTCTGTAGCCTCTGACAAATCACAAATTCTCCAGGCCTCAGTTTTCTCTTCTGTAAAATATGAGAGTTGGGATAAAGGCTTAAAAGGTCTATGATCTCCCTAAAATTATTTATGTCTATGTGTGATTTCTTTAGAGATGGTCCGAAATATTTATCAGAATCTTAAAGGGGTCTAACATCCAAGAATGTTTACAAACTAATGGATTAAAGAACTTCTTTTTCCTTCAAGCTCTAACATTCTAACAACCTGTTTTTAAAAATCCATCAATCAATGGAGCAGAACAGAGAGCCCAGAAATAGATCTACACTTACATTGTCATTTCAATTTTTGACAAAAAGTGCAAAAGCCATCAAGAGGGAAAGAAAAGTCTTTCAACAATTTTTAGTAAAACAACTGGATATTTATACAGAAATGAAATTTACCTTGGTCTCTGCCTCACACCACATACAAAAATTAATTTGTGATGGACCACAGACCTGAATGTAAAAGCTAAAATTATAAAGCTTCTAAAGGAAAACCTAGGAAATTTTCAAGATTTGAAGTAGGTGAAGATATCTTAGGGCAGTGAAAACAATAACCTAAAATTTAAAAATTATAAATTAGATTTTATCAAAATTGAAAATTTGCTCATCAAAAGGCATTATTAAGAAAACAATAAGCAAGCCACAGACTGGGAGAAAATATTTACAAAACATATCTGACAAAGAACTGGTATCCAGGATACATAAAGAAATGATACTACTCAATAATGAAAAGACCAACAACGTAATCAAAAAATGGGCAAAAGATTTGAACAGATACTTCACTAGAGGGAGTTTACAAATGTCCAAGAAGCCAATGAAAGCATACTCAACAATGAGATACCGCTACACATTCATTAGAATGGCTAAAATAACAAGACTGACAACATCAAATATTGGCAAAGATGGGGAGGAACTATAATTATCATATGTTGTTGGTGGCAGTGCACAATCACTTTTGAAAAAGGTCTGGTAGTTTTTTTCTAAAACTAAACACACACCCATCCTAAGACCCAGCAATACAACTCCTACTTACTTATACAAGAAAAATAAATACATGTATCTACATAGAGACTTGTAGAAGATTCATAGCAACTTTATTGATTATAGCCCCAACCTGGAAACAGCCCAGGTATTCATCAATAGGAGAGTGCATACAAACAAAGGAATACCAGTCAGCAATAAAAAGGAATAAACTATTGATACATGGATCCCCATAGATGAATCTCAAAAACATTCTGCCCTACATTGCGAAGAAAAGGCTTAGGCAAAGAGTACACACTGTATTATTCCACTTTCATGAATTTCTGTAACAGGCAAAACTAATGTAAAGTGAAAAAAATCCCAACAGTGGTGGTTTCTGGAAGACAGGGGTGGGGCTTGATTGGAAGGAGCATGGGGAAACTCTCTGGGTGGTGGTTATGCTCCATAACTTGATAGGATTTTGGGTTGCACAGGTGTATGCGTTTATCAAAACTCATTGAATGGTACACTTACAATTTGTGCATTTCATGGTATGTAAACTTTTCTCAAAAAAATAAAAGACCCATAAACAAATGTTGAACTCTAATGATTTGCATGCTGAAGTGCTTAAGGATGAAGTGCACTGGTGCGTGCAATTTACTTTGAAATGGATCCAAAAATGTAAGATAAATTGATGGAGGACAGAAGAGATGGCTACATAGACAATGGAGAGGTATGTGATAAATATAGAAAAATGTTAATTGTAGAATCTGGGTAGTGGGTATACAGGAGTTTGCTATGCAATTATTTCAGCTTTTCTGCTGTGCTTGAACTTTTTGGTGATAAAATGTTGGGGGAAAAAAAATCTTTTCACTCTAAAGCCAATAACCTGGCCAACCAACCGATCAATAAATCTGCTAATACCATGTTCCCCAAACTTTACTCATTTGGATACTCCTTGTACCATTATTTATTTAATAATTTACCTGACCTTGACTTGCTTTTGAAACTTGAGCCTCATGCTGAATAATAACATCTGTGACATTACGTGTGTGGTCTGAGTTATATTTATTTTATTTTATTTCGGCATATTATGGGGGTACAAATTTTAAGGTTTCAAAAAATGCCCTTTTCCCCCCTACCCCCACTAGTCTGAGTTTCCAGTATGACCATCCCCCAGATGGTGCACATCTCACTCATTATGTATATATTTTTAATATACACAATACTTGGTGAAATAAATATCTAAACATTAGCTTTAAAATGTTCACTCATGTGCCACGCACCATCATTTCACTTACTTTCCAAAAGATGCCTATCACACTGGAGAAGTTCTGACCTGTGCTTCGTGTTTCGGGGGGCTAGAAGAAGGTCCCACGGCCTTGACCTCAAAGAACTTTACGGAGCTTCCCAGGCACCGGCAGAGGGAGAGGACGGACTGCACACGTGGGAGCCGTGGGTGCTGGACGCAGCGGCTGGGAAACGTCTGCAGCAGGGCCTCGTTCCCTGGAAGGCCGGGGCAAAAATCACCGGTGACACCCGGGTCAATGGCCTGTCTCCCTGCTCGAGACAAGTGGGGAAAAGAGAAAGCGTCGGGAGCAGACACTCGATCGGATAGCCCCTCGGATTTGAGCTTTCCGTAGGCTCTGATGAGGAGGCGAAAACACACACACACACACACACAAGGCACGCGGCCACAGGGTCCCCTGTGGCTCCTCACCCACCCTCCGCCCTCCACCTATTCCACTCCTCTCCGCCGTCAATTAAAATAAACAGCCTTGTATTCCGCCGCCTGGCTCCAATCTATCTCGGCCGGGAGGATACGCACAGATTTGTGGCAGTGCCTGAAAGTCCTTGCTCAACCTTTTTAATATCTGAACAAAGCAATCAAACCCGATAAGATCTAGCAAAGGCAAGATCACTCTTCTGTCCCCGGGATGGAAGCTTATTAGTCTGTGGCCCACATCATCAGAGTTATTGTGCCATGTTAAATTTATTGGTACTATCTCACCTCATTAAATACTTAAATAGACCTGACAGGACAGAAAAACGGGCTTTTTAATTTTTTTTTCCCCCTATCCAAAGGGAGCTGGTGTTTCCCATGTCCCAGTTCACCTCTGCTACAGCGGTTGGCACAGAAACAAGAAAGCGGGCCTCCTGCACGGGAGGTCCGGGCTGGCTGTCGAGAGACTCCCCGCCTTGGGCTGGAAGTGGGGAAGGCACCCTTGAAGTGTGTGGGTGCTTCGGTGGGAACGGGGTGAGGAAGAGACACAGGGCAACCGTGGTGTTCATCCTCTTTGCTCAGCTTCCCAAATCTGCCTGAATTAACGGTTTCTAAGAGGAGCCTTGTCAGTCATCAAGCCAGGACAACTGCCAGAAATAAAGGTCATGGTCACTGAGGAGGGACGAAATAAGGGAGTGTGTGGGGGAAGGTGGAGGCAGGGTGTGTGTGGGCGTGCGGGGCAAAGCAGCAAGCCCCCGGGTCACCCTCCAGCTCCGGGGCTTGTGGGCTTTATTTAGCAGACAGCCCCAGTACCTAGGGGTTGGAGCCTGGCCAAAGCCAGGATTTCCCCAGTTTCTGAGCTGGAGAACTTGGCAGGCTGCTGGAGGCTTGCAGAGAGCCACTAGCCTGAAGGTTCCAAGCAAATTACAGATGATGAGAGGTGGGGGTCAGAGAGTGTGGGTGTCATTGGGTCCTGTCCTTTTTCCCAGCCCCCTCGCTGCCATCCCCCAGTTGTGTGTGTGTGTGTGAAGTGTGGCAGAGTGCAAATTCAGGAATTGGAGAAACTTTGCAACCTCGAAAATGTTCCTGAAAGGGTTTCATCAAGAGGTCGATGATTTTTTCTCATTTATCAGGCCAATTTTCTTCTCAGCCAAGGTGATTTGGGACAGCCTCCCTGCATCCCCTTCCTCTCCTCATATCTCTACCTGCAGAGAAGGTCTCTTTTCTCCAGCTGTTTCCCTCTCCCAGCCCAGGTCCTCGTTTGCACCTTGTTAATAAGGTGGGCAAGGGGCCAGGAAGCAGCTCCCGGCGCCTTCCGTTCCTAATGTCCTAAATGGCCATGACACTGCGCTTAATTTCCGTTTTAGTGCAACTGCTGGCGGGACATCAGCGGGCTGAGACCTGGGTCCTGCAACAGGATCTTCAGCAGCGGCCATCAGCCTCCCCCTGTAATTAGATGCCACTTGGAGCCTGCTATCCTGCGGTGCCGGAGCTCGGTGGACTTATGTAACTGTCCCCCTGTTCAGAGCACGGGCTCTTTACAAGCTCTGAGTCTCCCAGCGCTAAAACAGCTATAATCCCTTGCCCACCCTGGGAGGGAAGGCAGGCCATGGCCAGATGGGTTATCTATGTTATCAGCTTAGAGTAGCGTGGGGCACGGAAAACCCTGTGCTTGTGCAGAGAACCTAGATGGCTGACATTTACCAACTGGGGAGCGTCGCTTTTTATCTTTTTTGGAATGTTCCATAGTGGACTTAGGGAAGTGACATGGTCTGAAGCCATTGGTAGGGGCTACTCTTGCCTTTGGAGCAAATCGAAAAATGTCAAGTAGGGAGCAATGTGGAATGCTGAGCACCATGCTTGGGCTCTGGCCGTGATGAAAAGACTGCCGGTCATGACAAGGTTTAGGGCGGAATTGCAAGTCCGCCTGTGCATGGGGACAGAAGGACCCAGTTTGGTCTGAACTGAATGGTGGTCTGGGTGGGGGTGGGGGCTTAAGGGGGGCAGGGAGGGCGGAGGAGGTGATTAATTATCGCCTGGGTGGCAGTATGTCTTCATTTAGAAGTTGCAGCCTCAATTATCTTTAATCACTTCCTCTGTGGCCTTAAATCAAGGGCTAGTCCGGAATAGGGATCAGCTGCTGAGGTTCCTGTCTCGGGTGGGCTGGCGAAAGGCGGATGGTGGGGTGGAGGGTCACTTTTGGGCACACGTGGATGGTGCTGTTTAAATCAGCCCCCCTCCAGGGCTCAGGGATAAAACTGATAATCACCAAAACCTGAATGAATACTATCCCAGGCCAGCATGGTGGCTCACGCCTGTAATCCCAGCACTTTGGGAGGCCAAGGTGGGAGGATCACTTGAGGCCAGGAGTCTGAGACCAGCCTGGACAACATAGCAAGACCCTATCTCTACAAAAAATTTAAAAATTAGCCAGGCATGGTGGTGTGTACCTGTAGTCCCAGCTACTTGAGAGGCTGAGGCAGGAGGATTGCTTGAGCCCAGGAGTTCAAGGTTACAGTGAACTATGATTGTGCCACTGCACTCCGGCCTGGGTGACAGAACAAGACCCTATCTCATAAAAAAAAAAAAAAAAGATATACTACCCCAGATAGAGTATCTTCAGAGGAGCCCATTGTCTTTTCTGATCCATTGATTTTGTTTGTCTTCACTGACGCACCAAGAAGGAAGGAGATCAGAGGAGTGAGTGGGGACTGCCCTTCCCATTTTATGGATGACAAAGGAATTCCACCCAGTACATCCACATGCCAAATTAGAGGCCACACCCTTGCTTTTGTCTGAGCGCAGGGTACCCAAACACAGATTTCCACACTGGATGCATGGAATAAAAATTTTCAGTGGTGGACAAGGTATTCTGTATGTTAAACAGGCTTTCCAAATGCCCCATTAGGAGGCTGGCATTTGGAAACTGCTGCACCAGGCTTGTCCTTCTTGTGTTCTAGGTGCGGGGAGACCAACCCCTTACCTCACTGAAGCCTCCTCACACCTGTGCCCTCCTCCTCTTTCTTCAAGGTTTCAAACTTGTCAGGGCTGGAGACGGTATGTTCAAAAATCCAGGTCTCGTTTGCATGGCAATGGGGAAAAAAAAGAAAAGAAAATGACCTGAAAAGTGGCAGGCTTTTCTCTAACATCAGCCTACTTGCCTGGGTGAGGGTAGGTGTGGGAGCTGGGAACTTACAGGACACTACGGAAGAGGGGGTGGTCTCAGGCGCAGACCTTCACTCTCCCCTCTTGGGGCCTGAGTCCGCTCCTCTGTGAGTTGGGGCGTTGGGCAAGATGATCTCTAACATCCCTTCCTTCCCTGACATTCTAGGATTCTCGAGTCTCCGGGCCAACCTTTTTATTCCCACGTGGTCTGGTGTCGGGGAAGGAGAACATTTCTGCTCGCAGATACGGAAAAGGAGTGGGAGCAGCCTAGAGATCACTCCCACAGGAACCTGCTGCCCCCTCAGCCTAACGGGCAGCTCTTGGGCCTCTCTCCATCTCTGTCTCCCACTCCATCTCTTATTCCATCCCCATTTGACAGCGATACGGCATCGAAGCAGGTCACTCTACCCTCTGTCCCAAAACGATCTTCTCTGTGCACTGCTGGGCCATTCTCTGCTTTCCTGCAGTCCTTTCTTCCCCAAATGGGGAAACCTTTGGCTTCCTACTCCATGCATGATTGTCTGATCCCTAGGTGGCCTTCCTCAACTTATTGAATATGAATTATGCTCTCAGAGGCAAATGTTTCTTTCCTCGTTGCCCCTGTGACCTCATTTCCCCCAGCTCAAAGCGCAGGACACTCTTTCTCAATGGAGCCTTATGTGTCGAAGTTCTCAGCTCCTTCCCGTTATCAGGGAGGGTTAATTGGCAAGTCGCAGTTGTGCTTTTTCGCCTGGTTCTCCGGCGGCAGCAGAATTTATGAGTTATATCCCAGGCAGATGTCAAGGATGACTCTGGGGTATTTCGCCTTAAACAATAGAGTTCCTATTTACAATTGACCATCAGTTGACATCTGCTGTAACGTCATACAATGTGGTCTCTGGGAGAAAAGCTGGAACTCCTGACAAGACCGTTTTGAATTCAATTAAAGAGGCACCTACGGATGGCCACCATGTGTCCACCATGGGGCTGGGCATGAGAGGTGCAGGGGGACACCAAGGGGAAGAAGACATAGACCCTGCCCCAAGGGGGCTCACCTGGAAGAAGAGCACACCCCACCACATCAAGCACATTGGAGGGTAGTTGTATTTGAAACATGCTGAGGAGGAAAGCATGGTTGAAAGAACCTTCAAAAGCTGTAACACTCAAAAATTTAACCGTGCCCTGTGTCTGGATTAGGCTACAAGTATGCAGTGCCTGGTTTGAACTCAGTATCTTGGAAAATACTTCTTCCTTTTAAAAATTTTGTTTCTGCTAGCTAGTACTTATGCAGAAAGTGTTCAATAGGGTTGGGGTCTTTTCACTATTTTTATGAGGACATAGCCGGATGCAGGCTTTAGCCGGTGATGGTGGTGGTGGTGAGTTCTGGGTTTTTGTTGTTTTTGTGTTTTGAGGATACTGACCTTGTCAATACACAAAGATGTAGAGGTCTGTGTTCTGGAGCAGGAGGTTAAGAAATCTGAGAGTTTACACCAAATTCACTGATTCCCTAATTCATTTCCTGACTCATGTATTGATTCTTTGATACAGTGTCTGATAGATTAATGATTAATTCATTTATTTATTCAATAAACACCATTGGATTTCCTTATATTAATACAAGTTCTCACCCAAGAAAATCAAGCTGAATGTTTTTCTTCCTTCGAGTATCTCTTTTCTTGGTTTCCTTCCAAACCAATTAAAAGAAGGTAGAGAGAGAGAAAGACTGAGACCGACTCCTCTGGGATGCAAACCCTTTCAAATGCCAGTCCCCAGGGAAGGAGGCGGCCTTCAGTGTGGGGAGAGAGAGATGGATGCATCTCCTTGGAGTCTGAACCCCTCCCTTTTCCTTTGTCTTCTTCTTTTGCAATCCTCTCCACCTCCCCTTGTGCCTTTGTTCCCTGAGATTTCTAGCCTTGGGGTGGGTGGCCAGGTGAGATCAGCTACCCATTCTGCCCTGCGTGTTCCCCAATCCGCCATCCTGCCTCCTCCCCGGCAATCCGGGGAGTTGGAAGCATCTGGTGCTCCTGTCTCCTGAGAGCCTTTTTAATATTATTTCATTTCTTTTAACCTTTATTAAGACAAACATTGAGCAAAGAACAGTCTATACTCCCACTAGAGATACTCTCCATTTCGATATTAAAAAACAAAACAAAACAAAACCTAAACCCACCCAACCTGAGGCCCGGAGGAGAGAGAGAGAGAGAAGAGAGAAAAAAAAAAAAGAAAGAAAAAGAAATATCCTAGAGATATTTTTACCTTCAAAGATCCATCACTCATTACTGCATATCACAGACACGTCTACAATCTCATCTTCTTACAATTCTCCGTGAAATAAGTGTAAATGGAAAATAATACCCCATTTTGAAAGTTCAACAAAATGTCTTTATCCACCAAATGTAGCCCCAGCTGTCTCATTTTCAGAAACAAAGGCTGATTTTAAATAGCAGCTCACCACCCAAATAAACACCGGCAGCTCTATCCAGCTCCGCACGGCAGAGGCCGCCCGGGTACCCCGTGCAGTTGCCCCTCTCCCCGTCAACGTGGATGGCCTCTCCCCGATGGCCAAACGCCCCGGCTCCAGCAGGTCTTGGGGTCCCTCCCTTTGGAGTGGGAGAAATCATAGAATTTTGTAAACATTGAAAGCTGTGTCTCCCTGAGCACTTGGGGAGAGAGTCGCCTAGGTTACCAGCCCCTGCAGTCAGCCCTACCTGCTCCCGACCGACCGTGGCAGGCGTACCCGGGCTCAGCTCAGGGAAGAGGAGGCAGAGAGAGGGCTCCTCCCTCTGGAGCCCACGCCCGGTTTCCACTCTGGCAGACAAAGGCTATGTGACAGTAGACTTGGGTGCCCTTGGCAAATGGAAAAAAGTACTTAGGAGCCCAAAGATGCTCCTCCTTGAAAGCTTTAACCCTCCTTCCCTAACAGGCTCTGTGACACTGAGCCGAGACTTGAGACTCTGGATCCTCAGTTTCTTCCGAGCTTATATCTCCTGTAAGTCCGACGTTCCATGGGAGTTTCGAGCAGCGTGTCTCAAAGGAAGCGCCCGCTCCTCTGCTCCTGACCCCTCCACCTCGGTGAGAAGCAACGCCATCCGTCCAGTTGTTCGAGTTCAAACAAACAAACAAACAACCTGACTCCTCTCTTTCTCTTCCACCCACGTCTGATGTGACAGCAAAACCTGTTGGTTCTACCTTCAGATACGGCCAGAATCTGGTCCACTCTGCACGCCCACGCCACACTCACCCATCCCTAGGTCACTGCCATTGCTCCTAACGGCCGCCCTCACCCTGATTCGGTGGCAAAGCAGGGTGGGGAAAACACAGAATCTGGAGCCAAACTGCATCCGTTCAAAACCTGGTCTACAAGACATAGCCTGTGAAAGAAGAAACAGGAACAATGCAGACATTTTTAAAGAAAAAGAAAAACCTGGCTCTGTGGCTTACTAACTGTGTGATCTAGACGGGTTACTCTCAACCTCATCTTGTGCTTTCCTTTCCTGCTCTGTAAAATGGGAGCAATAACATGGTCTACCTCTTGTAGTTGTTGCGAGGATGAAACAAGTTAATATGCATAAAGAACTTAAAATGGTATTTGGCACATGGTGAATGCCATGTAAGCATTAGCTGTTATTATTGTTGATATTATTCCCAACACGGTGCCAGAGTGAACCTGTTAAAATATAAGTAAGACCATGTCAGTCCTCTGTTCAAAACCTTCCAGTGCCTTCTTCAGGACAAAATGCAAAGCACTTTCCCACGAGGTCCCAGGGGAGCTGACTTCCAGTACTTCTCCCTTTCCTATTCTGTTCCAGCATCTCCGGCCTCCCTGCCTTTCCTTGTGCACACTGGGCAGCTCCTACTTCTGGATCTTTTCACTTGTCATTTCCTCTGCCTGGAACACATGTCCCTGGAGAGCCCCACGGCCTGCCTTCCTCCTTCAGGTCTGTTCCAATATTACCTCTCAAGGAGGCCTTCCCTGACCACCCTGTTAACAACCAAACCCAAATACTCTCCGTCCTTTTCATTCTGATGTAGTTTTCTCCCTAGAATGTATCACCATCGAATATACTCCATATTTTACTTATTTATTTAGTTTACTATCTGTCTCTTCTCATTAGCTTTCAAGTCCCATGAGAGTAGGATTCTGTTTTTTGTTTTTTGTTTTCTTTTTTGGTCTGTTTTTTCACTAGTATATTCCCAATACTCACATAGTTCTTGGCACATAATAGACACTCAGTAAGTATTTGTTCAGTGGTTGAGTATGAAGATAGTTAAAACTGATGATCTTGAAGATCTCTCCTTTGAGGTTAACATTCCATGATTGTTTAATGACGTATCTTCTTACGTTGGAGCTTCTTACATATCTTCTTACGTGTCTTCTTATATCATATGGAGCAGAGATGTTTGCAGTTATCCTAACAGGTGAAATGACTTTTGAAGAGCTGCAGGAACACTCGTAGCAGAGACAGTTCTGGAACCTGGATCTTGTGACAATACTTCAGTTCTCTTCCTTCCACTTTGAGCCTATGCTAGTACTGGATTTGACTCAGACGTGTTTGCTAAATGGATGGATGGACTAGAGGATGGATGGACGGATGGACGGATGGATGGATGGACAAACGCGTCCCCCTCCTCTTTGGGAAGTGGGTAGGACTCGGTAAACCCAGGCTGGTTTGTGGCTTATCCTGGAGCCTGTGTGACAAGTGTGAGGCTGACACAGAGCCCAGCGTGGTAGGAAGGGTCCGTCAGCGCTTATGCCGGGCCATGAATCACCCCAGTGATTCAGACGCCGGGAGGCCTGTCAGGGCAATCTCAGATGGAATTGATGTATCAAGGTGTCGCTCTCTCTGAGTTGTTTATTGGGAGTGACACCGAGAGAGATTGACAGGCAGTCACTGGACAAATAGGCAGATCACGGGCTCACAGAGACGCCTGGCGGCACCTGTTGTATGGGACCTGAGGTGAGCCTGTGGGGCGATCCCTGTGAGCCCGGCCAGCAGGTGCATGGCAGCAGGCCGGCCTGCAGAGTGTTGGGGTGAAACGAAAGTGACCCAGCAGCTGCAGGACCTGGGTGTCCAGCAGCTACAGGACCCCACTGGGTGATTTTGTTTTTGTTATTTCTTCGGCTTTATTTCATTTTACCTTTTGGCCTTCTCAGAGAGCCAGCTGGACCACCCCACATCAACCCTTGAGGTTTCCGTGAAAGGGGCCCAAAGGCTGTAGACAGTGGGTTGGCCAGAGCCCAGCTTGCCACTGGGCCAGGGATGTGGGGTCTGTTACATCTTCTAGGCCTGCACCAACCTGTCTGCTCCTGTTAACACGGCAACGATGGCAAATGGTTACTGAGCATTTACTTCCGTCCAGCCCATAATGCCCTAGCTTATTGGACCTTCCCAACGGCCAGATGAGGTAGTGGTTATATCCCCATATTGTAGCCAGAGAAATGAGCCTCTAAGGGTTAAATTACATGTTCGGGTCAATGGCTAAGCAGTGACAGTGGCCGAACCAGGCTTGCAGTCCGGGTGGCTATGACTCCAGGCCTCATTCTTGACCCCCAAGCTTTACTCCATGCAAGGTCACTGACCACTGCTCAGCCAGGTCTCCCAAGCCTGCCCACTGCTTTCCATTACTCCCAACACAGACGCTCAGCCAAGCCCAAACCCTATCCCTTCTAATTCCCATTCTTGTGGGTTTCTCAAAGGCCTTTTTGCCTTTGTTCCTTAGAGCTGAGCACGGGGTGTGGCTCACAGTCAGGGTCAAATAAATGTTTGTTGAAAATGGAAAATGACTTGTTTAGATCCCATCTCAATGCCTATACTTGCCTTCCCTATCCCGAATTTGTCTTCTTGCCTGTTTTCCAATCCACGTCTCTCCCCACTTTCAAAGCCTAATTTAAATCTTTACATGCTTCTGTTGGTTATGAGTAAAACTTGGTGCAAATTTTAAGAGAGCACGTAACAGAGTATAACAAATGCCTTACACCTGTGTGTCTATTCTTTGACTCAGTACTTTTATTTCTAGGAATTCATCCTAAAGACATATCATACATGTGAATAAAGAGGGGAGAGTACCAGGATGTTCACTGAAGTGTTGTTTAAGGTGGCACCAACTGGAAACACCTGAAAATGTCCAGTAATAGAGGACTGGCAAAATAGATGCACATTTTCTTTTACATTCATACAATAGAATTCTTGGCAGTCATTAAAAATAATGAAGATATATGTCTATTGACACAATAAATTAAGTGAAATAAGTAGGTTATAAAATAGTACACCCAGAATAATTTGATTTTTATTAAAATTGTATGAATATAAATATATGCATCGAAAAATGTCTGGAAGGACATATATCAACCTGTAGACAGTGATTATCTTCAGGTAGGGATTACGGGAGATTTTTATTTTCTTCTTTTTACTTATTCAATTTCTAATTTTCTGCAAAGCACTTGTTTAAAAAGAAAGAGAAATGGACATTCTCTAAGAAATATTCTCTGATTACCTCTTACCTCCCTTAATCCTTCCTAGATCTGATGGTTCCGCTGCCTGGCACTGCTTTAGCATGTGTGCTGTTGGGCGGATTGGAAGGGTCTAGCATTGCTCCCAGAGGTGGTAATTTTCATTGCCTTTATAAGCTCCTTGAAGGCTGGGGCCCTCACTTCATTTTTTTTTTAAGTTTCAGAATTTAGCATAGGACATTATACATGGGTCGCTTCCACTTTTTCTCCCCTCTTCCCCAGCCCCCATCATTTATTCTAATGAGGTTGAGAATGAAGAGAGTTGAATGCACTTCGTTCTTGGGGAAGAAGGGGCATGAAGCCATTTCCCTAGGGCTGGGCAAGGGCCCAAATTAGCCCATGAAGCCAGAGGCAATAAATAATCCAGAGACCTCCGAGGTCAGGGCCCTGGCCTCCTCCGGCAGCCACCCTGACCTGCATAATGGGCCACAGGCAGTTATGATTCATGCAGATGCCGGTTGGGCTCCTGCCAGCCTGGTTGAGGAGCCTCCGCACTTGGAACTGGATAGGCCTGAAAATACGGGCCCCCCGGGACAGCTCAGGCCACGCTCTGGGGAGCCTGCGGGCCAGAGGCCTGCGGGAGCTTCTGAGAATCGGGACTGGAGACACATGACTGCCTCGGCCTTCTCCTGTCTGTGAGCCAGAGCCCCAGGGAGAAATCTACAGCCATTACACCACCAGGCAGAGCAAAAAGAAATGAGTTTAAAGTACCAGAAAGAGGACTTAGATAATCATAATGTAGTGAGTGGCTTGGGCAGCAACTGTTGCAATAATATTACCTCCCATTTGTATAGGGCTTTACTGTGAACAAGATGCTCTCACATATATTATCATATTTGACCCTCACAACAACCCTGTGAAACAGACAATCTTTGCCCAGATTTTCAAGAGAGACAGTTGAAACTCAGGGAGATTAATCAATTTACCAAAAGTTGCACAGTTAGTGGGAGGCCATGTCTTCTGACTTCATTATGCTAAAACGAGCTCTACCTGAATGAATAGGACACATAAAGGCTAAATAAATCTCATAGTTATCTTCTAAGAATGGAGGTCACCTCCCTATGTTTGGAGGAAGTTTGGACAGAGAATCTGGAGGGGATGGTAGGCAAATGAAATGACTCCTGAAAGCCCCAATACCAGGGCAGCTGGGAAGGCAGAAATGAGATAACCATGAACACTACCCGAGTGTGTGTTTATGCTTTCAAACACTGAACTTCACAGCAC